CGGTCCGACACTCCTCGGCGAAGATTAACACAGGTTTTCAGGACACTTTCAGGAATCAGGTTAGCTTTCTATACTCTTCTATCTCTATGGTTAATCGATTTCATTGGGGATTTGGGTTCATCTAATTGGGGATTTGGGTTCATCGAATTGGGGATTTAGGGTTCGTCGAATTGGGGATTTAGGGTTCATCTAAGTTATTAGGACATACACATTCTCTCTTCTTCATCAGGAACATGGGAAAGTGGAAGAACATATCAATGTTTGGCGAGTTCGATACTGGCTCCAACCGGAGCTACTATGGAGAGACATCTTCGGATGATGATTTGCTATACCTTGGAGAGACCTTCTCAGACTACACTAACACCCCACCAAGAGAATGGCAGCCAACTGACAAAGGTATTCCGACTCGTTGTTTCTGTGGAGGCAAAGTCGTTTTATGCATCACATGCTTGGTGTCTACAACGGCCAGAAATTCTACAGTTGTGCGGAAGATAAGAATGTAAGAATTCTTTCTCATTGGAATTGTACTTTTCTATGATTGGTGTTGTGCTTTTTGTGATTGGAATTGTACTTTTGGTAAATTTACTTTAATTGGTTTTGATTAGGACGATCAGTGCCACATTTGGAAACTCTGCGACTAAGCATTTGTCGAGGAGATTGACGCTGTGAAGACCAAGCTGGGTGATCAAGAAGCTAAAGTCGAGACAGCTGCTAAGGAAATCACTGAACTCAAGAAAAAGGTGGCTGACCTTAAGACCACGGTTGTTAGTCTTATACAAATTCTGGAACTATGAAGAAGCCATCATTGTTTGAATTCTGGAACTTGTTTACATGTTTACATGTAAACATGTTTTGGTTTGTAATGTCATGTAGTTGCTTGAATTCTGGAACTTGTTTGTTTTGTCTGAACTTGTTTAAATTCGGGTACTTGTTTGTTTAAATTATGGAACTTGTCCTTTGTCTGAACTAATAGCTTGTAATGTTGTTGTTTTAACAACAAACCCCCTTGTAATGTTGTTGTTTGAAGTAGTAGTTTATCATGAGTGTCATACCAAATCATATCAAAATAATAGTAACCGAAAAATAAACATCAAAATGAAACCAAGTTCATAAACTTAAAACATCCAAATGAAAACCAAGTAATAGTAATAACTTAC